CTTCAAAGCCAACAGAAAATTTGAAAGACCCTTATTTGTTAAAAACACAAAGTGTAGGCTGCTGACTGTATTTTGATCTATTTAAAGAAGAAGGTGAAGGGCTACACTTGGCTATATTTCAGTTTATTTCAGGACTGGCATACTGATTTATTACTTTCTGTTTTTTTTCCCCACAAGTGCCAGCATGTATTTATCAAGCTGCTGAAAAATACTGAAATTGTATAAGCAATTTTTCTCCTGGAGTTTGTTTAAAATGCTTAACTTGATATATGACCGAAAGAGTGACTTTCTCCATGCTCTGCTATTTGTAACACTGCAATTAAAACAACTAGTTAGTGTAGGTTTTCTCTCATTTTTAGTAACAAATTGATTGAAACTTCCTGTATGTGCTCATCTTTCCCACAAGGCTTAATGGGACCTTTAAAGAAAAAAAAGAAAGTTGCATCTACTTACTGAAAGTGTTAACTGAAATATTGACATAAGATGCCAATTTGATTCAAACCTTACCTCCTGGTTGAGGCGTAAAACAATGAAAAGTGACAACAGCCTGCCTTCAAGATAATTTATTATAAACACATTTTTTAAGTCTGTGTTTATTATATAAATATGCCCTGAACCGGACTATCCATTAAAACTAGGCTTTCACCTCCCGTTCCTACAATCCAGATTTATCAGAAATTCACCCCCTATGAAACTCTTTATTATCCCAACAGGCCTTATTCCTCTCACTTGTTTTATTTCTAAACTATAAATATTGTTTTTTCGCTCCTCAGTGTGGAAATTTGGCTACATCCATTTTACGTGCTTACTGGAGTAGAAAACTGCCTAATCAGATAGGAAAACAGTTGGCAGTGTATAAATCAGGGTTTGCTGAGGATTTCAAAGTGTGAAACTGGCAGACAAGCACATATCCTAGGAGTTCTGCCTTTCCCCAGGTTCCCTGTAGAGATTTCACATGGCAAATCTGATCACCAGGACCATCTGTATAAATACATGGGTGTGTTGTCCTGAATTAACACAGCAGCTCTACCGGGGAATGTAAGGTCTTATTTTTAAATTTCCCCACCAGACTGTCTGAAATACAGATTTATATACCAGGAATAAAAATCTTATCTTGATTTTGATGAGGAAATCAATAGTAATACATGTTTTACTACCAACTAGTCTAAACAGAAACTCCCAGGTTAAGTTCAGATTGCTCCTTAGTGATGCTCCAGGGATGAATTTACCCTCTCCTGTCCCGCAGATCAGTAACCCTATGATATTGAAAGTGATGCTGTGCTACAAACAGCTTTTCTTATACTTAAAGAAAAAACCCCCAAACCCCAGAACTTTTTCTATACGAATGGTTTTACTGTAACATTGCCTGCCCTACTCAGTTGACATTCCTTCCTAACGTTCATGTTGAAACAGAGTTAAGTAAAGATTCATGTTGTAGTGGTGACAGGAGGAGTTGTTACACAAGATGTAGAGTTTCCCTTGGATTTCTTGTCACGATTTTTTCTCATTATTTAAACAAGAACTACATTGAAGTGGTGCAGGTACCAGGCAATAAAGATTTCCCTTGGTGCTGACAAACTCTGAGACCGCAAACGGAGGTGCTTACATGCTGCAAGAGATATTGCATAATGTTCTTTTCCTTTAGGCTAGGGATTGCTGTCACAAAGGAAACATCTTTATTTAAGAACTACTATTATAGAAAAAAAAAACCCAAAACATTTAGTTCTCATTATATATGAAGATTTGACTTCCAGCATGTTTTATTCAATGATGTATGGAAACTGTTTCTAAGCATGCAGCTTTTAGCCTGCCTTATTTATTAAACTGCTCTTGGAATTGCTTCAATTACTGTCAGTAATTCTGCTTTATGATTTAGCGATAACCAAGTACAACGAAGGGAATATGTTGTTTGTTTAAAAAAAAAAAAAAAGGAAAGAAAGAGGAATACATGTTTTGTGGAGAGATCTGACAAAGCTTTTATAACTGGTATACATAAGGTAAACTACTACAAATCAGATAAGTAGGTATTGAGTCCATTTGTAAGGGTCTTGGCAAGTGAAAAATTATTTTTGTGGCTATGGGATGTTAAAGAATAAACAAAGCAAAAAGGAAGAGTTTTGCTGGAATCCTGCAGTTTAGCTGTGGGTCACTGGCACGGGAATTGAGGTGCACATGATGTGTTAATTGAGAGAGGAAGAATTGGAGACAGGCACTGATTTCGAACAGTAGGTGTCTGTATCGGGGAAACGAACACAAGCATAACCCCCCCAGCCATATTCATCAAAATACAGATAAAGTCATTATTGGACAGCAGTTGGGATATTTCAACTTTTAGGAGGTTGGTAGCTATTTTTCTGTATCCCCAAAATCACTGCAAGATGATGATATAAAGAATAAGAATATTTTAGAGTCACAAGCAGACTCTTTTTCCTTTCAATAGTGTGAAACAGGATTTGAAGTACAGTCCATAGGGATATTGAATAATGACAATTCCACTATTTATTTTTTTAATTTTGAAACTACTTTCCAATAAAAAGATCTGAAACAAAACTTCCTACTGCATACAAAAACTATAGCAGCAGAAAGCTTTTTCTTTTTTTAATGAAACTCCTGATTACAAGCCACAAAAACTGAGCTGTTCTGATATTCTTATCACATTTATTTTGTTAATTTTTTAAATTTTTAATTTAAAATTTTTTTTTTTTCTAGAAATATGAACATTGTGAAAGATCTTATTCTAGAAAGCCATTTTAACACAAAGCTATTTTAAGCTGAAAATGTTTTGCTGTCTTGAATGGCTGAAGCCTAGTGGTGTTGATGCTTTGGTGACTGGTTGCAACTGCAGCGTAAGCCTGGTTACTGCTACCACGAAAACTTACAAGCTCCTTTGCAATTGCCATTCTCCAAGGAAAATGTCTGGACACAAGGCACAGAAATGAGGGTAGACTGACAGCTGAAAGGTAGATTGGTAGGTGGAATACCTGCCACTGCCTTTCTCCTCTCTGTTCCCTGTTAGGCATTCATTTGAACATAGTCTGTGACCACACCACAGTACAATTTGTTACAAGTCAATTCCTACAAACTTCATTCCTTTCACTGTGATTGCAGGAAGTTCCTGTTAGCCCAAGATGACAGGGTCAGAATCTTGCCTGGCAAAAATAGTCTTACTGTCCTAGCCTTGATAATTTATTTTGGTGAAAGATCTGCTTATAGGAGTTTTGCCTCTGGTAAGATGGCAGAATATAGAAAAATTCAACAAAATTTAACAAAATAATTATGTTCTTTGCCATGTGGTGCTGCAAGAGCCTTCAAAATTCAGCTTTCCAGAGGTGATATGTTTCTGTTTGTTGGAATGATATATGGATATATTTATAAAATATACATTTATAAATTTTTTGGCACTGAAAGCTTTCCACTGACAACAGTTTCTTCTGTTTTAGAAATGTGCTGAAGATATAGAAGTAAACTTACTGATAGCAAAGGAAGTTTCTAGAAATAGCACCCTGTACCATTTTGAGTATCTGGTAAAAAATATTTTTGATGTGTTTTAGCAAAAGTGTTGATTTATGGTTTGCTGGATTTTTGCTTGGTCAGGTACAGCATTCTGTACTTAAGTCATATGGTTATAATTGTTACCTCAGATGATATTTCCATCAGCGTGTGGCTAGTATGTCTTTGCAATGGAGGTAACCTTGGCTGAATAATGAATCGAAGTAGGCTCAGGCATCAATCGCTAATGATGCTGCAGAGAAGATATTTCAGTAGATTTGTAAATGTCATCACCCATAGAAAGACTATTGTAAAGAATGAGAGAGGGTTCCTTTTCCAAAGAAAATACTTTCTCTAGGATTAGTCAGAAGTATTTATTTAAAATTTTACATAGGTTCTTGAGGTCCTTAGGGACCCACAAGACGCAAAGTTCTGTTTTAGCATACCAGTGTATTATACGGACTTTCAAAAGGATGAATTTAAATTTTAAAATATGAATTTAATCAGTTGGATATGGAAGACTTGAAGACATTAATTCTGAGGACATTTTATTATAATCCACCTGTAGGCTAAAAGTGAAGACTGCTATTCCTTAGTGATTCCCTGCTCTGCCAGTGCAGATTTGGTTTATTTTCACAAAAACTGTTAAAATACTGACAGGAGAGTACGTAATTTAGCATGAACCATGCTAATACAAACTTAATTCATCAGCATTTTCTGAGAAAGCTTCGATCATTAGAGTGAGTTTATGGCAATCAACAATTTCTGTAATTTTTGGTCTGGTACTAAAAATATCAAGGCTGGATTTTCTGTACTGTTGAATCATTGCCTTAGATGGCCACTCCACTATGAATTTATGCTGGTCTACTTTCTTTTCATGCCTCTGACTCATGCCGGTGTATTTGTGACTGTATGTTGGATCAGAATCAGGAACCAATCCAGTTAAACTAATCTAGAAAAACTAAGCAAAATTAGTTTTAACTTGCATCAGTTTTGTAATCAGGTTTTTTGTGTTACTGCATTTGTGCTGGGGTAGAAGAAGAGTATTAATAGAAGGAACAAGCAGTCAAAGGTACTGAAGGAGGAAGGAGTACTTGTTCTGGGTCAATGCCATCCATTTACTGATGTAAGATGTTCATGTAACTGGGATCTTAGGTTTACACTGGATCCCAAGCAGTGCCAATGGATATGGATAAAAAATGCAAGTGAAATAATAAATCATCTGTTTGGAATCATGAACTGATAATAAAAATAAGAAGAAAATGTGCTGCTGGATCAAAAAGAAATATAATTTTTAACTTGCATTTTACTAAATTTCACTTTTTTTCATGAAAATTCTTGTAACGGTAATACAGTGAAATGGTTCAGGCAAAAAAATTGCATTCTTGTCTTTTTATGCAGTTCTCCTTGAGATAAACATCCTCTTTATGCATTTCCTCCCTCTCTTTTCCCTCCTTCTTCTTGATTTTATACAGTATTTTCAAATTCATTTAAACATTACTTTTTTTAAGGTTATCACCAACCTTGGACCTCTGGAGTGGATTCTTAATACACCCAGTCATCACAGAGTTCATCATGGTAAGCTAAAAATGTAACCTCTTATTCCTCAGTGTCTTTTCTCATGGTCATTACTTTTATAATAATAAAAAAGTTATTAGTTTTACAGTATTATTTTAATTTTGATCATTGCTTCAAAAATAGTCCTTGTTCAGTTAGAAATTCCACAGTATTTTAAAAAACCTTAAATTTAATTTTACATTTAAGATTAATTATTGATCAGAAATTAAGCCTGGATAACATGGAATAATTTCAAGACACTGAGCAAAACAATTCAACATTTGTAAATATGAAGAGTGATAGAAAAATATCTCATTCTTCCCTGACTACTAAAACATCATCAACTTGTCAATCACTTACATGCTTTTGCATTCAAATCCACTGAATATGTGAAAAGACAAGGTTACCTTTTCAAAGAACTGTTAAATGTTTTAGTGGAATTTGGTTTCAGCTGTCTGAATTATTGAAAAAATCTCACTTCACACAAGTGCATGACAATTGACTTTGTATCAATATTCAGAAGCATTCAGGACTGTACTGCATCTGTAAATTGGATTAATAACTTCCACTGCATACTGAAAAATGTCATGAACATATCTGAGGAATAGAAGTGGATTTCGTAGATGTCCTTGGCTCATTCAGTGTGCAGAGATAACAGTAAAAAAGTGAAAGGGGAATGGAAGAACAAAATAATTTGAAACAGACTCAAATGCAGTATGTACAGAGGATATTATTAATATTTATATCCTCCGTGTGTAAAGTGTTTATGGCACTGTGTAGACTTTTTAAAAAGACTGTGGTTCTGTAAGTGTCTAATCCTTAAAATTTGCACAAGTACTGGTAATTCTGGAGGGACACACTCTGCTCCTATTTACTCTGCTGTAAATCCAAATTAATCATCAGATCCTGATTGGAGTTAAGCAGAATCACCCCAGAGCTGATCAGGTGTTGTACAGTTGCTCCAGACAATCTCCACAAACTTGGAGATATGTAGTCAATGTTTCTCTGCTCATACTTTCTCTAGAAAACAGATAGAAAGAACAGTTTTCCTCACACTGAAATTAATAATAATGAAGGCAAGATCAGACATATGGCATAGAAGATGGAGACAGCTGAAAGCCATTAATGAGATGATTGCACATAAATGTATTTAGTGTGTATTTTCTTAGGTATAAACCAGTGAAATTATATTTTGGTTGCTTTTTAGTTTGTCTTTATAAATATATTCTGAACTGAGTTTACTCTCCAGAAGAGTCTTATTATTTCACAGAAATTTTGGGTGGGTGTGACACATTGGATTTGTATGTTTGAATCTCAGTAGAAAAGAGCAATAAGCCTACTAAGAAAAAAGAAATTTTATAGATGTATAAGGAACAGTGGGTTTTCTACCTTTTAATATTATTTTTAGATGATAAATTGATGCTAATGATGAAGATTTCCCTTCATAATTCAGTCAGATTTATTCTTCTATGTGCAATTACTGATCTAATAAATTATTTTAATTATAGGTAGAAATCCTTACTGCATTGACAAGAATTATGGCGGCACACTCATTATCTGGGATAGGATATTTGGTAAGTAAAAAAAAAGTTGCTCTGTCTCATACTTTCTTAGTGTAGCAAAACTGTCTATACCTTTGAATTTGACTGTTGGTTCTTTTTTTTCTTCTTCTTCTTCTTCTGTCAGGAACATTTGAGGCAGAAGATGCAAAAGTTGTATACGGCTTAACACATCCAGTAAATTCATTTGATCCCATCATGCTCCAGGTGCTATAATTTGTATCACTGACTCTGGATCTTCAATAGGCACTCATATTCAAAAGAAACTCCTCTCTTAGGCACAGTTGAGGCCATCCTTGCATTGTTGCATAGTCAATTAATTATCTACAATTTCTTCAGTATTTCATTACAAAACAATTATTTCTACTCACTTCACTGAGCATATGCAGAGCTTGTAGTCACCATGAAAATACAATACATTAAAATGAACAACTAATTACAATGGAGATGCAACAGGCCTTGGGCTGAATTATGTCCATTTTACTGTATGCAGAGAAATAAACAGTGAAGCACAGACAAAAATTTATATTTTATCTGTTGTTTGTCTTCTCTAAATATTATTATTTCATCAATAATCCTATGGTGTAATATCTTTACTGTTTTTATCTCTTTTGCATATTTGCTGTTCAAGGTGCTCCAGAATGATTTGTGTTGACAGCTTTATATAGCAGCCATCATGGTCTCAACAAAGCCTCCAGAACAGGTTGAATATAATAATAAAAACAAGAAAAGAGAAGAAAAAAGAAAGAGTACTTAGTGTGGTGCTTCTTAGATCTATTGATCCAGGCTTCACTTAAGCTGGAAAATAGTTCTCTGTAAAAGCCTTAGGAACTAAGGAGTATTGAAGTCACTAATTGCTTTCCATGACTGTTCACCCAAGGAGACATCTCAAAGAATGAGAAATTCTACTGCAGGTGTGTCTGGGCTGGAAGCTGGAAGGTTTGCCACAGCCTGTGCAATTGTGTCCATTCCAGTCAGACGCTGAATACTTTAGTTATTGAGAGTATGTCATGTCAAGGTCCCAGTAACCAAATTCTAGTTTAAAACTACCATAAATATAACTATGCAATATGCCATTAAATACTCTGGATTGATTACAGGAGAGACAGATTTTCCTCTGGGCAGGAGTCATTGTAATCCTCACTGTAAACCAAGGGCTTGATATGGATCCTGCCAATTCAGTCAGGGTTTCTGAACTTCTGACTGTCTTTGTCTATTCCTAATTTATTCTCTTTACAGACTTTGAAAAACCATTTACTTGAGGGATAAAAATGGATAAAATATAATGTTTTATTAAATTTTATTTTGCTAACAATGAAAAAATACTTGCTCTTTTTTTCAGTTACGTCCCTTGGCTCATATTTGGAACACATTTTGGGCCACACCTGGATTCTGCAATAAGCTTTCTGTCATATTCAAAGGGCCAGGCTGGGGACCAGGCAAACCTAGACTTGGCCTTCCTGAGGAAATCCCAGTGGTAAATAGAACATGCACAGGCTTTCAGTTTTGTGTAATTTACTTGGACCTCTTAATGCTACTGGATCAATGTTAAAAACTCTACACATGCTATTTTAAATTAGCAAATTAGCAGTCGTAAAGCATAGGAGAAGATGAAATAGAAACAGAAACTGAAGGAAATGAATGTTTTAGCTGTGTTTTTTTTCTTTATACTTGAAGGAAAAAAAATTTTTTATTTATCTTTTCATTATTCATTTCCTAAAGAGATTTTCAAAAGTGTTCTATAGAGTACAGTAATTTCTCTTTTTCTTTTAGCTGTGAACATACACACACAGACACACACACAGACACACAGAGTTAAACTCTGTCTCACACTAGGTAGTATATAAGTTTGATAGTACTTTATCTTTCTGCAATTATCTATGTCCCTTGATCTTTCTTAAAAAAAAGTATAAAGAATATTAAGGAATAACAGTCTGGAGCAGGTCAGTGTTGAAGGCTGTTATCTGTTTTGCTTCATACAGATCACTGGAAAAGAAGTTCCCTTCAATCCAAGTGTACCAGCTTATCTTAATTGCTATGCAGTTGTACACTTTGCTGTAATAATGGACTTGTATACTGAACTTCTTGGCACTGTGACTGTAAGTAATTCCTGTCTTTATGAAATAACATTTCATGCTAACACTAATACGACACACGACATGTTTAGATAATAAAGCATTGAGTAGAAGCTCTACAACCTGACTCACATCTTATTTAAACTATTATAATAATAACTAAATTCTGTAAAAAGAATCAATATAGATGGCTAAACATATAATTATATAATATTAATATATAATGTTTAATATTGTATATTAAA